TTGGCAGCGCTTTCTCTCCTTCAAAGTTTTTTTTTTTTTTTTTTTTTTTTTTTTTTTTTAACACGGGCCCAGTGGCCAAGGCTGATATTATCAACAAGAAGCTTGAGGCCGGGGTCTATGTTTTGGCTCTCTTTGGGTTCCTGCCAAGATCTCATGTATCTGTGTGCTTTCCATAATTTATGATGTTGAACGTTTCTTGGCTACAGCAACGCTGTTGCACTTGCTCTCTTGTTCCAACCTCCAACTCCCTCAAATGAGAAAGTTGCAACCAGGCAGGATAGGCCAGGCTCTCCGGCCTGGTTTATCCCAGGGCCCAGACTTCCAGAACCCCATTTTACAGTCGAAAAGGAGAATCATGATTACTCCTACTACCAGCGTTTGCACAAAGTTCCACAAACCTACAACCAATCCTTTTCTTTTCTTTTTTCTTTTTCTTTTTTTTTTTTTGGGGGGGGGTAAGGGGGGGGAAGAGGGGGGACAATTGCTCCAATCTATTCTCAGGGAGCAGCACGTGTTGGAAACCGGGTCAGCATCTCATCTGAGCATTTACAAAACATGTAAGATACCGGGGCCATTACCCGGCTTCACCTAAGAATCGATTAAGCTACAACCAATCCTACAAACAACCAATCTTTTTTTTTTTCCGTAGCCCAGAAAAAATAATTTAATATCGTAGTGGCCCGATGGACCATGGATCAGATATTAAACTGATCAGAACAGATACTACACTTGATCTTACTTAGCCAAAAGGCCAAGAAAGGTATTCAAAGTTTCAAACAAACAACCAATCTTACAAGGAGTAAGTCTGCAAGCACACATAATAATGAATTTGTGTTGCACCTAATCTTTTGTAGCTTTTGGAATGTTTCTTTTTTTTTTTTTTTTTTTTTTGGCCCCAAAATTTTGGACAATTTCTCGATTTATGCCCTGCCATCCTTGCGCAGGGAGTGTGAAGAGAATCAAAACACGAACGGCCAGTGACGGCTCCTTAGGCTGACTCCGTACTCAGTTGGCAGTTGAAACAAGATCATTTCCATTACATGGGAACTGGGAACCTTCTTCATTAAGGGGTCCACCTGATATGAATGTGGACACGGGTAGAACCTGAAAAATCTGTAACTTTGGCTCATTTTAAAATAATAAAATAATGTTGTGAAGGGACGCTGGACCCCGTTTCCAGCAGGTGCAGAGCTCCCCTCCAATGGAACGGAGCCATCCAAAAGTGTGGCCTGTAGAATGGGTACCTGCTCTTATCAGCACCCGTTCTACACCCGTCGTCGATGTTTTCTCTTTGGAAAAAAAAAAAAAAAGAAAAGAAGAAGAGAGAGAGAGAGAAACCAGGACACACTGGAAAAAGGGGAGGGAGGAGGTTGGAGGGGAAGTAGATACACAGAGGTAGTGCATAGAAAGTGCTTCATTAAAATGTCATCACCGTGAGAACTGTAGCCAAACCAGTGTTGGGCCGGCAACCGGCCGGTTGGACCGGTCCCGATGC